CAGTAGCTGAAAAAGTTATTTTTTCATGCTTTCTTGGGAAACATTCTGGGACCTATATTCAAACACGCATCATGATCTCTTAAACCACAGGCTGGCAAACTGCAGCCTGCACAAGTTGCAGAGATCACCAGTCCCTATGCGATAACAAGACTTATGGAGAAACTACTTTAAAGCTACAGAATTCAAACAGCAGTTTGGGTGTAGGAAAAGAGTTCTTCTATGTATAACTTTGCATGTCATAAAGATGACATTGAAAATCAGTGGGAAAATATTTACAAGACCTGTAAGAATTGATAAAATATAACTAAAAATGATATAAAAATACTGGAGAACTATTTCAAGAGTAATTTGTTGCATTAAGCCACAAAAAATGTCAATTGTCCCAAAGTTAACCTATAAGTTAAAAATCAAAATCTCACCATAGTTCTTTGGTGAAAATTGACAAAGTAATTCTAAAATTCATATGAAAGATCAACAGACCAAGGATCAGGAAGATCCTCCTTAAGAGGAGGGAAGACTTTCCCTAACAGCTCTCTAAAACTTTAGTAATTAAGATGGATAGAATTAGCACAGAGAAAAACTGCCCAGTGGGACAACAGAAAGCCTAGAATCTGAATATCAATATGGGAAACATGGGTGAACTGTTTATTCTCTAAAGGAACACACACCAAAATCACCTGGAAATCTGACTTAAAATGCATACAACTAGCCCTATGTACAGAGATGTCCATCTCTAGAGATGGCACCTTTCAACACCCATCATTAGGCTCCACTAGTGGGATATTTTCTGATACACAGAAAATGTTCATGATGTGGTAGTCAGTGAAAAGTTTCCTGTCTATGCCAACTCCCAACCTCAGGATGAGCCCACCTCTTCTCTGGGTGGCTGATGGAAAACTGCCTCTCTTCAGAAAAGCCTTTACTTCATACCTGGGGAGGTCGAGGCTTATCCGCAAGCCCTTCATGGAAACTTCTGGTCAAGGTGACAGCGTAGGTAAATGTGGTCTCAGAACCTCTCATGTCCTCACAACCACATCAAAATTATAGAACCACCATTGTTCGGAATCGCCTGAAATCCAGCTGAACAGAGAAGTCCTGTAACTAAAGCTATAAAGCAGGTACCTCTGCCCTTGCCAGGTGGTTCAGCTGGTTGGAGCATCATCCAAAACACTAAAAGGTCATACATTCGATTCCCGGTCAAGGCACATGCCTAGGTTGCAGGTTTGATCCCTCGTCGGGGCATGGAAGGGTGGCAACAGATTGATGTTTCTCTCTCACATTGGTGTTTTTTTCCCCCTCTCCCTTCCTCTCTCTCTACAAGCAATAAAAATGTATCCATGGGTGAGAATTCAAAAAGAACAAGGAAAAGAAGGGGAAGAAAAAAGCGACACCTTGAAACTGGAAGGAGGCGCAGAGACACTGAAAAAGCTGATTCCATACCCTGTGTGTCGGTTAAATAGTTGTAGGATATCTTGGCTGTGGAGGTCCCCCCTGAGGAGTAAGGGGTCGCAGCCCCACACCAGAGTCCCCAGCCCAGAGTTCCAGGGCCAGGAAGAGAAGTCCACATAACTTCTGGCTGTGAAAACCAATGGGGACTCTGGCTGAGTGAGACGGGGCTTTTGGAGTCCCAGGCATTCCTCTTGAAGGGCCAGCACACAGATTTACTCACTCCCTCTGAGCTCCAGCATTGAGGCAACAGCTTCAAAAGGCACCAGGGACATATGGGGAGGAACCAAATTGTCTGGTTTCAGGGAGAGAGCCAGAGGGGTAGCTTTATCCCAAACAGAAGTGCCAGCAGAGGCCATTGTTTCTTTGCTGAGCCCTCTGTAGAGCCGGCAGGTGGGTGCCATATCTGAGACTCCATCAACCTAGCTAACACTGTTCATTCTACCCTGGTGATTCCCTGAGACCCCGTCCCACCCAATCCATTTCCAGTGACTTCCAAACAAATAGCCTGTCTCAGCTCATGCTTCACTCTTTCCTAAAAATCTCTCAAAGGCTCACAAACCCCAAACAAGCAGCATTTGCCCTCAGCGTGCTTTGTACCTCTTGCTAAGTGGCCCCAGGCCTAGCATGAGCAGCAGCCAGCCTCGGTTCACAGCTCAGCATGATCTTCAGATCACTCTGTAGCTCATGCTAGGTGGCCCTGGACAGGGCACAGGCAGTGGCTGACCTTGACCTGTCCCTCCCAGGAGGCCGCAGAGCCAGCTCACCTAGTGGTCAGCCTCAGACCCTGCTGAAACACCACGCAACCACCTCCAGAGGTGAACTCATCAGGCACCAGAGCCCTACAGAGGTAAGTCCTCCTCTGTGGGGTCAGCCCCTTGCACAGTAGCTCCTCCTCTGTAGCCACCACCAGTCCTTGCAGCCCATCAGCCTGGGGGTAAACCCCTCCCACTGAGGGGCCAACAGCAGACAAGGCAACTATAATAGGAGAGTGCACACAGTCCCCACAGGGGCTCTGGTGACAGTGCAGGCTGCACTACTGGACCCTACAAGACACCTGCTACATAAGGCCATTCTTCTAAGACTGGGAGACAGCTCTACATAGAAATAAACACAAGGAGGCAGCCAAAACGAGAGACCAAGAAACATGTCCCAAATAAAAGAATAGAACTAAACTCCATGAAAAAAAACTAAATAAAATGAAGACAAGCAATCTACCAAATACACAGCTCAAAGCACTGGATATAAGGATGTTCAATAGCTTAGGGGAAGAGTAGGTGAACTCAGAATTTCTGCAAAGAGGAAACATAAAACTGGACATAGAAAGCACTAAAGCAAAAAGACATACATCCATGTGTTCACTGCAGCATTATTTACAATAGCCAAGATATGGAAGCAACCTGAGTGTCCATAACAGATGAATGGATAAACAGGAAGTGGTACATCTATAGAATGGAACATGACTCAGCCACTAAAAAGAAAGAGAATGAAATGTTGCCATCTACAACATGGACAGACCTACAGACAGAGCCTTGTGTTGAATGAAGTAAGTCAGACAAAGACAAATAACATGATTTCACTTGTATGTGTTAATGTTAGGCCCAGAATTAGATAAAAGTAGCCAAAAGGAACCCGAGGCAGGCTCCAGACTGACTCAGCAAGGAAGATAGAAAGTACAGAAAAGTACAAAGAGTGCTGAACAAGATAAACCGCCTGTGCATGACCTTGTCTTTGCATGACCTTGTCTTTGCAGAAAAGTATCCATTGTTGCAAGCAGACAGCATAGCCATGTGTGTTCTCTCGAGATAGCCAATTGCTAACAGCTACATCTGCTTCTGTATTTGCTTGCTTGCTCACCCCCATAAAAACCCCAGGCTGTAAGCGCCAGGCGCGACTCTCATTTGCAGCCATCTTGGCACTGTGTCTCCGGACACCTTGAGAGTTCGCCCCTGCGCAGGTAAAACTTTGGCCAATAAAGTTCCATCTTAAACTCCTGAAAGTTTCCGACCATTTGTTGCTCGCATTGGTGGATGCCATATTTTGGAGGCCCCAGCGAGATCTCCCTCGGAGGAGTTTTGGGTCGGTAGCTGGAGGGACGGCTCAAGCTGAGTAAGTAACCGCGGTCGTGAGGATCAGGAAGGATCCTCTTTGGTATTTGGGCTCTAGAGCAATACTCTGAGGTTGGTAGGCGGGACGCTGCCAAGCCCACCCAGAGGCCCAGAAGACGGGACGCCGTACTGGGTGTAGTGTCGGTTTCTTGAAAATGTGACCGGTCACGATTAGGTATTACTTTCGGTTTGCGCAGCGCTCTCGGCTCGCAGCTCCCTCCTGGCGCCCTCCCGGCTTGGCTCGCATCACAGGCTGTGTGTGTTTGTATTGTAATGGCTGTGTTTGAATCGGTCTTTGCTTTTGTATCTTGTTTGTGATTCTTGTTTCTGAGCTCCCGAAGGTCTTACAGGCATCGGAGATGGGGCAGAGCGGGTCGGTCTCGAGACCGAGCTCACCCCTGGACTGCTTACTCACCAACTTCTCGGACTTCCAGCGGCGCGCAAACGGCTATGGTGGACCACGGCCAGATCCTGAGTTCCTCAGGACGCTAAGCCAGATAGAGTGGCCTACATTTGATGTGGGGTGGCCCACCGAAGGGACGTTTGACCTGCCCATATTGTTTGCAGTCCGAGCCACTGTGTACAGGGTGCCCCACCCTGACCAGTACCTGTATATGGATGTCTAGGTCGACATAGCCACCGAGCGGCCCGGGTACATCAGGAAATGCATGCAGGGGAACAAACAGGGAAGGGGAAGGAGGGCTATCTGTCTAGCTGCAGGGAGAGGGAGCGCGCAGGGAGGACGGCGCGAATCATGCAATAAGATGACCTCTGAGCAGCCCCCATCCGCGCCCCCATCCGGTAGACAGAGGTTATACCCCGTCTTGACCTGGCCACCGGAGGACCTTGTCGACCCAGTGAATGCCCCTCCACCCTACTATCAGAAGGAGGAGCCTGATACCATGGGGAGAAGGGAAAATGAGCCCCTCAGCCCTCCGCACACTCGGAGCGGAGCGGGGAACCATACCCCGGCGGGGCTGCCATTTTACCACTCCGGGAGGCGCCTCCGCAGTTAATTTATGTCCCCTTCTCCACTAGTGATTTATAGAATTGGAAACATCAGAACCCACCATTTTCCGAGAAACCTCAGGGATTAATCTCCCTCCTTGAAACCATATTCAGAACCCACCAGCCAGCCCACTTGGGATGACTGCCAACAAATTTCACAGACCCTGTTTACCTCGAAAGAAAGGAATAGGATAATCAGGGAAGCAGCAAAAGCAATGCTGGGCGGGGAGGGAGACACAGCGGCAGGGAGAAGAGAACTAGAGACTACCCACCCAGCTGCCTGCATGGGACCCTAACACTCCTGGGAGAAGGGACGCGCTCCTCCAATACCGCCGGGCTCTATTGAGAGGATTACAGGAAGCCCACCAATTTCAGTAAAGTTAGTGAAGTAATTCAAGGCAGGGAAGAGTCCCCCCCGCAGCGTTCCTAGAAAGACTCATGGAAGCGTACAGGGTTTACACCCCGCTAGATCCTGAGGCAGAAGAGAATAGGAGGCTCGTCAACATAGCATTTGTGACGCAGGCAGCCTCGGATATAAGGAAAAAGTTACAGAAGATAGAGGGTTTTGAGGGAGAGAATAGGAGCAAGCTCCTGGAAATTGCTCAGAAGGTGTATGTTAATAGAGATGACCCAAAGGTAGGGCGAGCGAAGGAGGTAGCACAGATCTTGATTGCTGTGCAGGAGCCCCCAGCCAAAGGAAAAGGGGGGCAGTGGAGGGGGCGGGAGCGCCCACCGGACAAAGATCAGTGTGCGTTTTGCAAAGAGAAAGGACACTGGAAGCAGGACTGCCCAAAACTGAAAGCTGCCAATCAAAGGCGGCAGCAGCAAGGCCCGGAGGCCTTGCTCCAGACTCTCGACTGACGGGGCCAGGGCTCCATCTCTGTTGGCTCCCAAGAGCCCATGGTCACCTTGAATGTTGAAGGAAAGCCTATAGATTTCCTAGTCGACATGGGAGCCGCCTTCTCCGTTTTAAAGCAGCCGCAGGGACAAATTCAGAAGGCCACCACCAAAATAGTCGGGCAACAGGAAAGGCGGAAGCTTACCCATGGGCCACCGCCAGGATCACTGACCTAGGGAAAGGAACCATCACCCATTCGTTCCTCGTAATCCCAGACTGCCCATACCCACTATTGGGAAGGGACTTGCTGCAGAAGTTTCAGGCCACTATTACCTTTAAGCCGGAAGGAGGTGCCCTGAGTGACCAGGAAGACACTAGGGTGAGCCTAGAGGTGACTGTCCCCTTGTCTGAGGAATACCTCCTAGCTGCAGCCCCAGAGAAGGAGGGAGCAGGCCTCGGGGTGCCAGAAGACTTACAGGTGCTAGTGCCTGGGGTCTGGGCAGAAACTAACCCCCCCCCCCCCCCGGGCTAGCCACACACCAGCCTCCTGTCCTAGTGCAACTCCTCAGTACGGCAACCCGTTAGGATCAGACAATACCCAGCGCCAGCGCGGGCACGACAGGGGATTGCGCGACACCTGCAACGTCTACTCAAGGCCGGCAGTTTGCAGAACTGCCAGTCGGCCTGGAACACCCCCCTTTTGCCCGTTCAGAAGCCGGGAACCCGGGACTATCAACTAATTCAGGACTTGCGAGAGGTAAACCTCAGGGTAGAGACTATACACCCAACGGTGCCAAACCCGTACACCCTACTCAGCTCCTTACCTCCTACTTACACCTACTACATGGTGTTAGACCTAAAGGACGCCTTTTTCTGCATACCCTTAGCCCCACAAAGTCAAGAAATATTTGCCTTTGAATGGAATGATCCAGAAAATGGACTAGTAGAGCAATATATATGGACAAGGCTACCACAAGGGTTCAAGAATTCCCCCACCATTTTTAACAAAGCATTAAGCAAAGATTTACAGGCCTACCGAGTAACCCATCCAGCGGTGACCCTGCTCCAGTATGTAGATGACCTCCTGGTCGCAGCAGAAGGGGCCAAGGACTGCAAGGCTGCCACCATAGATCTGCTCCAAGACCTAGAGCAGAAGGGATACAGAGTGTCTGCAAAGAAGGCCCAGATTGTGACACAAACTGTGAGCTACCTGGGGTACACTCTGCAGGGGGGCCAGAGAGCATTAACCAGCCAACGCATTCAGGCGGTCCTACAAATACCAGAGCCGACAACCAAAAGGCAAGTACGGGAGTTCCTTGGGGCAGTGGGGTACTGCAGACTATGGATCCTAGGATTTGCAGAGCTTGCCAGACCACTCCACGAGGTCACGAAGGGGAAGGAAGACCAGTTCATATGGACAGACAAGGAGAGACAGGCTTTCCAGGCCCTCAAGGAAGCCCTTGTAGCTGCCCCTGCTCTCGCATTGCCAGATTTGAGCAAGCCCTTCCAGTTATTTGTAGCAGAGAAGAAGGGGGTAGCACTTGGGGTACTCACCAAGAGTTAGGGCCGTGGAAAAGACCTGTCGCCTACCTCTCCAAGAAACTTGACCCAGTGGCCTCAGGCTGGCCGACATGCTTGCGAGCTCTCGCAGCCACCTCAGTATTAGTCAAAGAAGCCAGCAAACTAACCCTAGGACAAGACATCCAGGTCATAGGGGAGCACTATATAGAGCAAGTGCTCCGAGCACCACCTGACAGGTGGCTGACCAACGCTCGCCTGACTCAATACCAGGCCCAGTTATTGAACCCTCCCGCTGTGCAGTTCCTCAAAACCACAGCCCTCAACCCTGCCACCTTGCTGCCCATACCAGACTCAACCCTAATTCACAGCTGCAGCCAGATATTAGAAACAGTTACTGGCTCCCGCCCAGATCTCAAGGACCAGGCATATGAGAAGGTGGACCTAACCCTATTTACAGATGGGAGCAGTTTTATCAAGGATGGGCAGCGATATGCTGGAGTAGCGGTAACCACTGAAGATAAAGTATTATGGCAAGAGACGTTGCCCCCAGGGACCTCTGCACAGAAAGCAGAACTCATAGGGTTAACGAAGGCCCTACAAATAGCTGAAGGGAAAGCAGCCAACATTTACACAGACAGCCGCTATGCCTTTGCAACAGCCCACATCCATGGTGACATCTATAAAGAAAGAGGCCTCCTGACAGCAGGGGGAAAAGACATCAAAAACAGAAATGAAATCTTGGCCCTCCTCGACGCCATCTGGCTCCCCTCCAAGGTTGCAATGATTCACTGCAAGGGGCACCAGAAGGGAGAGTCCCCGGTCATAAGGGGGAACCACCTCACTGACTCGACTGCCAAGGAGGCAGCCACGAAGAAGCAACCACGAAGCAACCACACTTACTTCCCCTTGTGGCGCCCCCGACCCTGCCAGCAGACCCTAGCTACCTCCCAGAAGAAGAAGGAGGAGGAAAGAAACGAGGAGGACAGAAGAACCCCCAGGGATGGATAGAACTGCCAGATTCTAGGCTATATTTACCCCAGGGGGTAGAGGAATAGTCCAGGACCTATATACTTCCACCCATCTAGGGAAGAACAAATTGGAGCAACTCATCAAGAAATACTACTCAGGACCCCAAGTCCGGGACATTATCCACTCTATAGTCTCCAGGTGCAGCGCCTGTGCTAAGGTAAATGCCCAGAACAAGAAATTACCCACCTTTGTAAGATACAGGGGAAAAGCCCCTGGAGAGCTATGGGAGATTGATTTTACTGAGATGACTCCTGGGAAGCTAGGATACAAATGCCCATTGGTCCTAGTAGATACCTACTCGGGGTGGGTGGAGGCCTTCCCCACGAAGGGGGAGACTGCATCCACCGTATGTAAGGTTTTGTTGAGGGAAATCATACGCAGGTATGGCCTTCCTTTAGCAGTAGGATCAGATAATGGACCTGCATTTGTCTCCAAGATATCCCAGGAATTAGCTCAAAGGTTAGGAATTAATTGGAAATTACATTGCATTTATAGACCTCAGAGTTCAGGACAAGTAGAAAGGATGAATAGGACTTTAAAGGAAACAATAATAAAATTAAAAGAAGAAACCAGCGAGAACTGGGTTGAGCTGCTCCCTTTTGCCTTGCTTAGGGCACGATGCACCCCTTACCTTAACAAATGGACGCCCTATGAAATCCTCTTTGGACAACCTGTGCCCATTATTCCCCGCTTGGCACGGGAGGAGATTGAAATCTCTAACCATAATTTCCTAAAGTCCTTACAGGCTTTGCAGAAGATCAGGAGAGAAGTGTGTGACCTCAGGACCCAAGCTTTGCAGAACCGCGCACCTCAGTCCTGGTTACCAGACCCACCAGACCCTGGACAGTGGATATACATCCTCAACCACAGACGAGGTAATCTAGAGCCACGGTGGATTGGACCCTTCCAGGTGCTGTTAAGCACCCCGACGGCCGTACGAGTAGCAGAAAAACCCTATTGGATTCACCTTTCCCACGTGAAGCCCGCTGTGCCCCAAGACAGTGAGCCAAGACGATGGAGAGTCACCAGGAATCCCAACAACCCATTAAGGCTCACTTTCTCCCCAGAATAGGACTCCTATTTTACCTACTCGCAAGAGCCAGCGCTGGTATGCAAGAGTGGGTACTAATTAGAACTACAGATGGGACAGTCATTGCATCCAACTACACCTTGCCCAACGTGCCCACCATCACCCTCAAGACTGATTTCTCCAAATTATTTGGAGACGAGATATGCAACAACCCCCTGGGATATAGACATAGTGGTGACAGCAAAGACCCTCTAGGGGACGACCTGCCCTCGGCCTATTCCCTAGGATGGATCGGTTGTGACACCTCTCAAAAGAACCAGAACTTATATTATTCAGGGGCATATGGCTGCCCAGAACCTCCCCGGAGGTGGACACAAACCTGCGGGGGGGCGGGGAGGGGGTGATGACTACTACTGTAGGAGCTGGGGATGTGAAACTATTGTCTTGAAGGGGCACTGGACTCCTGGAGGAGTAAAAGAAAAACATCTAAATATTACAAGGATAGGGAAAGACCCCGGCCAAGGGTGGAACAAAGACTGTGCCATAAATAACTGCAACCCCACCATCTTTACAGTATTAAACCCCAGCGACCCTGAATGGCTCAAAGGGAGAACCTGGGGACTTAGATTGTACCTATCAGGCACTGACCCGGGAACCTTTTTTACAGTCAGAAAGTTACCAACAGGGAAGGGGCCATTATTAAGGAGGAACGGGGAGGGGTTACCACCCAAGCCACCTAAACCTTCCAGGGGCCCACAGCAACACAGGCTCCAAGGGCCTCTCAGCCTCCGCAATCAGATAGACCAGCGATCCCTGGTTCAACCCAGCCTGAAGAGCCTGAAGACCAGGAAGAAACAAAACATAAGGTACTCCTCCCTGCTCCAGATCACCTACATGAGAGACCTCACATCCAGGGTGTACCCACCTTAGAACTATTAGATAAGATCTTCCCGTTTATTAATTACACCCAGCCCAACATTACAGAATCCTGTTGGTTATGTTTAAGTCCAAGACCACCCTTCTATGTAGGGCTGGGAGCCAAAACCTCTGTTCCAGGCTACAAGATCTGGACTCCACCCGGCAGGAAGTACAAAACTGCTTATCTGATAGCCCCCTTTCCCTGGCAGAGTTCTATGGGAAAGGTACATGCTACTTATTACCTAATTTCAATTTGCTCAACTCTAGTTATAGTGACTACTGCTTAAATCAGAAGGAAATACCAGCCAACGGTAGTAGCCAGCCCTTAGTCATAAGGGCCCCAGAGGGACTTTGGTTTATATGCACCAGAGGGATTTTCAAGTGTATACTCCCAACTTCCCCTGAGCTATGTGTCAGTGCATATATTATACCCCAAGTATATCTGTACGGAGGGAATCCAGACTTCTTGCTAGACCCACCTAGAAGGATCAAGAGGGCCCCCTTATTAATCCCTATTATAGCTACCATGGGGATAATAGGATCCACTGCAGTAGGGGCAGGAGCTTTTATCCATGGAGAAAGTAAATTAAGACAATTATCCCAGACCTTCTCCAGGGACATATCACTCCTCCAGGATCAAGTAATCTACCTAGAGCACCAGGTAGATTCCTTAGCAGAAGTAGCCCTGCAGAACAGAAGAGGGCTCGACCTATTATCCCTCCAACAAGGGGGACTTTGTGCAGCACTAGGAGAAGAATGCTGTTTTTATGCCAACCACTCAGGAGTAATAAGAGAAAATATTAAAGTACTAATGAAAAGGTTAAAAGAAAGAGAACAAGCAGACAATGACTCCAGCTGGTGTTCCTCAATGTTCAGAACCTCCCCCTGGCTGACCACCCTACTCTCAGCCATAGCTGGGCCACTATTAATACTATTATTATTAACTATTGGACCCATAATACTCAACAAGATCCTCGCCTTCATCAGAGAATGGGTGGAAGTAGTCAAGCTAATGGTCCTGTCCCAGCCATATACCATGCTACCCGGAAATGAGACCAAATCAACGGTTTGATTCATAACCAAGAGAAGGGGGGAATGTTAATGTTAGGCCCAGAATTAGATAAAAGTAGCCAAGAGGAACCCGAGGCAGGCTCCAGACTGACTCAGCAAGGAAGATAGCACAGAAAGTACAAAGAGTGCTGAACAAGATAAACCGCCTGTGCATGACCTTGTCTTTGCATGACCTTGTCTTTGCAGAAAAGTATCCATTGTTGCAAGCAGACAGCATAGCCATGTGTGTTCTCTCGAGATAGCCAATTGCTAACAGCTACATCTGCTTCTGTATTTGCTTGCTTGCTCACCCCCATAAAAACCCCAGGCTGTAAGCGCCAGGCGCGACTCTCATTTGCAGCCATCTTGGCACTGTGTCTCCGGACACCTTGAGAGTTCGCCCCTGCGCAGGTAAAACTTTGGCCAATAAAGTTCCATCTTAAACTCCTGAAAGTTTCCGACCATTTGTTGCTCGCATTGGTGGATGCCACAGTATGCAGAATCTAGAAAACAAAATAAGAAAACAAGCAGACCAGATACAGACTCAAAGATACAGAGAACATTCTGACAGTTGCCAGATGGAAGAAGAGGGTCGGGAGGATGAGTAAAAAAGGTGAAGAGATTAAGAAATACAAATTGGGAGACTTCCGCCAAGATGGAGGCATAGGTGGAGAAGCCGTGCTTTCTCTCACAACCAAGTTTAGAGACAACTCAATATTAGCAACAGAAAACACAGCCAGAACATGGAAAATTGAAATTTTTGGAAGTCTGATAACAACAAATTCTTCAGCCTGACCGGTAAGAGGGGCGAAACCAGCATCTGTTGGAGCAGGGCTGAACAGAAAAACTCTGTCAGACGGACTCGGGCGCGCGGAACCCAGGCGCAGGGTTGGACCTAGTAAGCAACTCAGCGAGCGACCGCTGGGAAACAGCGAGGGAGCAGGGCTGCGGGTTGACTGTGGTCGCGCTTTCATGCGCAGATAGACAAGCGAGGGAGTGGGCGGTGAGATTACGGGACTGAGCAGGCCCCACAGCCCACAGCGAGCGGCAGCAGAGGGTGCCGCCATTTCCCCACTCTGACCCCGCCTCCACATACAGCGTCATAACCCAGCGACCTGAGTGGCCCCGCCCTGGTGAACCACCTGAGGCTCTGCTCCTCACCCAGCGGTGCGAAACTGCAGAGGAGGTCGCCATTTCCCCGCTTTGACCACACCCCCACATATAGCGTCACAACCCAGCGACCTGAGAGTCCTAGGGTCCGCTACTCATACTTAAGGGGCGAGAACGGACCAAAAATGGCGCAAGAAGATCTCAAAGCCCCAGAGCCTATAAATCTAAGCAATGAAGAAATAGCAAAACTCTCAGACACACAGTTTAAAACACTGGTGATCAGGATCCTCACAGAACTGGTTGATCATAGCCACAAATTAGACAAACATATGAAGGCGAAACTAATTGAAATGAATGGAATTGCACAGGAAACCAATAGCAATGAAAAGGAAACTGGGACTCAAATCAATGGAGTGGACCAGAAGAAAGCAAATAATGGCCAGACAGAAAAAAGTGAAGAACCAAGAATTCAAAGAAATGAGGAGAGGCTTAGGAACCTCCAGGACATCTTTAAACGCTTCAACATCCGAATTATAGGGGTACCAGAAGGGGGAAAGGAACAGCCACCAGTGGAAAACTTATTTGAACAAATAATAAAGGAGAATTTCCCCAAGCTGGCAAAGGAAATACACTTCCAGGAAATCCAGGAAGCTCAGAGAGTCCCAAAGAAGTTGGACCCAAGAAGGAACACACCAAGGCACATCATCATTACATTAGCCAAGATTAAAATGAAGGAGAGAATCCTAGAAGCAGCAAGAGCTAAGGGGACAGTCACCTACAAAGGAGTCCCCATCAGACTGTCAGCGGATTTCTCAAAAGAGACCTTACAGGCAAAAAGGGGCTGGAAAGAGGTATTCCAAGTCATGAAATCCAAAGACCTATAACCAAGACTGCTCTATCCAGAAAAGTTTTCATTTAGAATAGAAGGACAGATAAAGTGCTTCTCAGAAAAGATCAAATTCAAGGAGTTCATCATCACCAAGCCCTTATTATATGAAATGTTAAAGGGACTTATCTAAGAAAAAGAAGTTAAAGAAACATGAACAGTGAATGGACAACAAGCTCACAGTTATTAACAACCACACCTAAAACAAAAGCAAACTAAAAGGACAGCTAGATCAGGAGTGGAAACATAGAAATGAAGATCTCAAGGAGGGTTAGCAACAGGGGAGTGGGAGGAGGAGAAGGGGGAGAAGGTACAGAAAATAAGTAGCATAGACAGTAGATAGAAAATAGAAGGGGGGGGCAAGAATAGTATGGGAAATATAGAATCTAAAGAACTTGAGACACATGGTCATAAACTAAAGGGGGGGGTAATGGTGGGGACAGGGGGGTAGGGTGGAGGGGAATGAAGGGGGAATAGAACAACTGTAATGGCATAATCAATAAAAAAATAAATTTAAAAAAAAAAAGAAATACAAATTGGCGCTGGCTGGTGTGGCTTGGCTGTCTGCGGGCCAGGACCAAGATAGCGGTGTGCAAGAGGCGACTGACAGATGTTTGTCCCCCTCTCTTTTTCCCCTCCTTTCCTCTCTCTCTCTGAAAATAAATGGATAAAAATCTTTAAAAAAAAAGAAGTAGAAATTGGAGTTACAGATTAGGACATAAAGTACAGCATAGGGACTATAGTCGATATTAACTACGTATGGTGTCCGGGGGTTACCAGATTT